GGTAGCGGTAATCTGCAAGTTTCTGTTCCTTTGTGACTCATGACTTTTTAAACTGGGCTCACTTTCGCGTTCGCCCACCAGTATTATGGCGGATGGAGGTGATAGCCGTGAACCGTCTGCGAAGCGGAGGAACGAGCGGGAAGCGGCACCAAAACGAAGAGAGAGGAGTGCTATTTGGAAACGTTTTGCTAGGGTGGCGGCATCGATGGCGCAATGTACGGCATGCGAGTCAGCGCTTAAAATGCCAACAGGTACGACAACGCTTCCTTCTCAACCACCTCAAAGTACATCATGCGTTGTTGAAAGGGTATCGTGGGATTAACGCTAGTAGGCCAGGAAAACGTCAACCGACGCTGACGGACTTCATGCGCCGCACGGAGCCCCTACCACTACAGAGCGTGCGAGCGCTAAATAACAAGGTGGTCGCCATGGTGGCGCTTGATTCACAGCCTTACAGCATTGTGGAAGACCGCGGCTTCAAAGAACCGCTGACAGAAGCCGTTCTCATCTATCGCCTACGATTCCGCTCTACACTCTCGCGCGTGCTTGTGCCACGGACGTATTACGACACCCGAAAGAAGGTGAAAAGAAAGATCAGCAGCGCCTTTGAAGGCGGCACTACCGCTGTTGCCTTCACAAGCGACATGTGCTGATCGCGCGCTAATGCGCGATCCAAACCAACGCTTCTTTCTGCGCCTGTAGGTCGTGCGGCTGCGGATGTGACGCATTTCCTGACGTTTTTGCTGTTTCCGGGCGCGCTTTCTGAGTCAGAACCGTGCGCTTTGGTTTGGACGGGCCAGCTTCGGGCGAGCGCGCACGCGCGCAACAGACTGGCCGGCCAGGCCAGCCTGTCGCAGCCAGAAGGCGCCGAGAGAGAGGGAGAGAGATCGCGTCGTTATGTTGGAAGAGAATAAAAGTGGGGGGAGGAGAGGGCCAATTGTGGATACGCACCGGGCGCTTTTGTCACTTGCTCTGAGAAGGCGGCGAAGAAACGCGGAGCCGGAACTAGCTTGCCTTCCACCGATTGGCCGGGACACAGGAGCGCCCTATACGTCACCGCGCGTTTTTGTGCGCGTTGAGAAAGAAGTTGAAATTATCCAACTTTTTTGTGCGCGCCCGGATGGAGCGAAGAAGTGGCGCGACGTCACGAAAATACGTCACTTCCGCAGCCGCACGACCTACAGGCGCAAAAAGAAGCGTTGGTTTCGATCGCGCTTAACGAAAGTTACGTGAGCTTCAGCTGCCATCTTCTCACTCCAAAATTCATGATGAAGCGGTTCACATTCAACACTCGACAGACACTCACAGTGCTGTAAAAATTGCAACTATTCTGGACGAAATATGCCATGACTGGGAGATACCCAATGAATGTGCGAAGTCCATCGTGACGGGTAACGGACGCAACATCCGTGCTGCTTTAAGGAGACTTCCGTGGACTGAAAGAGCGTGCTTCGCGCATCCGCTCCAAGTGGCGATTAATGACGCGAGATCCCGCTCGCCGGCCATTGATCGCCTGAGCAAGAAAGTGAGGCATATTGTGAGACAGTACAAGCACAGTTCACCAGCTCAGAAAAGGCTTGAGGAGTGCTAACAGAAGATGAGAAAGGACGCACTACGTCTGGTGCAAGACGTGCAGACGAGATGGAATATTCAGTATCTAATGTTTTCTCGCCTACTGGAACTCAATGAAGCAGTCACTGCGGAGCTTGCTACCTCGGACTTTGACATTGATGAAATTGGTTCATAAAAATGGAAAGATGCTTCTGATTATGTACAACCATTGAAGCCATTGTTTGATGCTCCTGTTATTGCCAGTAGTGAGAAGTATCTGTCCTTGTGTTTCCTAGTTGCAATGATTTTCGCTATGCTCCAATGTCTGGGTAACTGTGCTGAGGCATCAGAATTTCCTGCAGAGCTGATAAGATTCACCACGGCAAGATTCACTCTGAATGAGGAGGACAAGGAAGAATGCCTTGCTATGTTCTTAGACCCACGCTTCAAGTCCACTATTTTTAAAGCCGAAAAGGAAAAATTATTATGGCTGAAAGCTGAGGTGCTGCAAGAGCTAACCTTATGTGATGCTACTGAAGAAACCCAGCCGGTAGCTACAACACAGTCACAAGAGCAAGGATAAACGCCGTCAGCTGATGTTTGGCAGTCATTTGACTAATCAGCCAAAAATGAAATGGAAAGCTAAGTGGTTTCAGCTTCAGAATGGGAAGTTCTAGCGTATGCGGAGGAGGCACTGCTAAGGAGAGAGAGAGTGATTCCTGTGAGTGGTCGCGAACTGTCGGGTGCGTAAGATATTCGAGTCTAACGAAGCTTTGCATCAAATGCCTGGCAATACCTGCCACTTCAGTGCCGAGTGAGGGAGTTTTTTCTTTGGCTGGAGGTGTAGTTTCCGCTCGAAGGGAGCGCCTTCTACCTGACGATCTGCAGCAGTTGATTTTTCTGCATGACAACTTGTAATCTTCCCTATAAATAGAATTGTCGTTCTTGTGTTTTCATTCTCGGTCAGATTGCAAATTGCCATGCGGAAAAATCAACTGCAGTTCTGCAGTTAAAAACAAAGTAACTGCAATTTCGGCAGGAGAATATGAAAATGCTGTGAATAAATGCACCTGCCTTCAACTATAGTTTTGTTTAACCAGAGACTGGGGTAATTCGGAAAAGGGACGAGAAGAAAAGAGGCCACAAGGAGGCGACGTCTCAAACCCAGCTCAAGTGAGCTGGGTTTGAGACGTCGCCTCCTTGTGGCCTCTTTTCTTCTTGTCCCTTTTCCGAATTACCGCAGTCTCGGGTTAAACAAAACAATGGTTAACTTCCACCAGCTCGCCTGCACCCTTACAATTTTTTGCCTTCAACTATTCGATATTCTAGTTGATATTCAAAGCTAACTGTTCGTATTCGATCCGTAATCGAAAATATTGATATTCGCTCACCCTTACTCTTAAGGAGTGCCCTCCCTCTTTTCCCAAGCGACCTGAAGTGGAAGGGGAGGGTGTTTGGCACAGTTCTGGAGACCCGCCATCCGAAAGTGCGCGAGTAGCTTTTCTCTGGCGGGCCAGGGAAGCGCCAAAGCAAAAAAGGAAACCTGGAACTAACTAACGGCGTGTGCCAAAACTGCATTAGGTCCAAACAAGACCATTAGGATTGCCAAGCCTGCGTCACGGCAGGCTTGTCTCTGGCCTTCTACCTGGGGGGCCTTACATGGTGGAAAAATCAATCCTCCCCCTTCCCCACCAGAAAAAAACAAAAAGAAAAAACAGGGGTAGTACAGGGAAACACATGTGAACGACCGTCATAAGAGCAATTTCTTAGTGAGCGCTAAATTATATCGCTATGTCTCAAATTATTTATACATGTTTTCGTGTTTTTTTTTTTTCAACTGGTCAGGTCATTTGGTTTCTCCTGTACGTTTATAAATTTGTTGTATGTGTTTTGGGCACCTCTAGACTACTTATATAAAGCTTTAGCTGTAGTAGGTAGAATTATCTCAACCTAGCTCGCGCTGTAAACAATAACCTCTAATAAAGCCTTGAAATAATTTACTATTGTGCTACAAAGAGTTTTACGTTTTGACGTAATAACCTTCCCTTCGTGCAAGAAGTAAAATGTGGTTAAAATTGCGCTCAAATAGAAAGGAACAGAGAAGAGGGAAGAGAGAAGAGACAAGCGCAAACTCACAACTCGATGTATTGAAGGAAGAAAAAAGAACAGCCCTCGGTATCAGCTCGAGCCGAGGCGACACTCGCACGGGGACACTAGCAGAAAATCGTCTACATACCTAGGTATGTAGACGATTTTCTGCTAGTGTACCAAAGACATTGGACAATAATGTAATTAGTAGCATCATGGACATATTCCACAAGTGCGGTTCAGGACTTATTTTTACCTGTGAAACTCCTAAGGAAGGTGTGTTGCAATTTCTAGACCTTTCTCTATCTTTGCAAACAAACCACCTGTGCTGGTCATTTTTACCCCGTTCTAAAAAAGGTTTACTGCACTATACGCCCTCGCACTCAAAAGTCGTAAAGAGAGGTATAGCTCTTTCCTGCCTTACTTCAGCCCTAAAGAAGTCATGCCTCCACACCATCAAAAGCAGCTTTAATGCTCAAATTGAGAGGCTTACAGCGTCTGGCTTTCCAGCGCAGGTGCTGACCGAAGTGGTAGGAACTCTGATAAAAAAAGTAAAAGGATGCGAAAAAGCTGCACGTGATATCGACAAAAAAAAAAAGTGGTGGTGGTTCCGTGTATACGCAGAATATCTCACAATCTCAAACAGGTAGCCAGTAGGTACGGAGTCCCCTTAGTGATGTCAGCACCTCAAAAAATGGGTCAAATTCTAAAGTTCGAGCAAAAATAGAAAATATTACAAAACACAGGTGCCGCACAAAACACGTCCGCCCTTACGTGCCCTGCTCACCCAGAGTGGTTTATAGCATTCCCCTTTCCTGTGGCAGATCCTACGTAGGACAGACGGGACGGTGTATTAATGACCGGTTAAGGGAACACAATCTTTCTCTAAATTCAACAATGGGGTGTCACCTACCTCTGCATTGTCAAGCGTGTAAGTGTACACCTTCTTTACAAAAGACCTCGATAATTGGCAGATTCACCGAAAAACACACTCGCGAAATTTTTGAAGCCTTTAGTATACTCCGCTTAGGCGAGCGTTGTGTCAGCCATCCTTCTGTGGCTTTAACCGACAAGGAAATAGCCTTTCTACAGTCGTACGAGTGTGGTTGATGGTGTGTGTCCTCCGCGTGCTCGGGTGCCCCCGTGCGAGTGTGGCCTCGGCTCGAGCTGATACCGAGGGCTGTTCTTTTTTCTTCCTTCAATACATCGAGTTGTGAGTTTGCGCTTGTCTCTTCTCTCTTCCGTCTTCTCTGTTCCTTTCTATTTGCGCGCAATTTTAACCATGTTCAATCATTACCAACTCGCCCAACTAACCACTTTACTAAAGTAAAATGTATATATTTTGCAGCCCAACCACCGAAACAGGAAGCAGAAAGATGCAGTCGGGGTCTTGGAGATTTTATAACGACGGTATGCTCCAGCTCTGGCGCCACGGTAAGCGCCTGACCTAGCTGAAAAGCATGAATATCTTGGACTGGTAGCAAATTAGGTAAAACGGTCTGGCAAATTCTGCTTCAAGGACCGGCTCAAGAATGAGCTGAAGCATCAATGGGTCATTCCAATGTTTTAAACAAGCTGTATTGCTCCTTATTTGTTCTTCTTTTAGTTCTAGGCAAGTGATTGTGGAGCTGCATTTTTTTCCTCTATTTAAGCTCTTTAAGTTGAATGACCTGTATATTAAAACGCTTAATTATACTCGTTTTGATATTTCTGTAGTATTACATATAACGTTTTCCCTCGTCGCTGATAAAGAAAAGCTTAGACAAGGAAAATTTACTATTTTAGACACAACACCAGCGAACTGTAATTTTATTCTTAAACTGTTTTACTGCTTTCTAAAACGAGATATCGTGTGAAACAACGCTCGGTATGTTTTCTTTGCATAACCTCATGAAGAGTAATACCTTAAGATATGTAAATGACAGAGAACTAACATTTACAGATAACTAAAGCCAGATGGTCACTTTTATACCAGGGAGACCACGAATGAAAAACGAATCGAATGAACAGTTAACTTGGTTGATTAGCGATCGTCATCTGGCCTAGCTTTTGCATCAGGAACACGGATTTCGCTAGAGTAATAACTAAAAAAAACACTGAAATTATTTTTTTTTTTTTTTTGCAGTTAGACATACACTATTTCTTATTGGCGTCTTCCCAGACCTTCTAGGAATGCTAAGTGTCCGAGACAGGTTTCACAGTACCATAAACCAATAAAGAGGGCCGAAATAGAGGCAAAAGTACCGTGGTGAAAATCTCTTAACAATTCAAAGTGAACAGGACCTTTGGTATCGCCACCAAAATGCCTAAGGCCCCGCCACATTGAGGCAAGACGATGGCAACAGCAACACAGCACGTTGTCCAACAGTCGGGAAACTTGTTGCTCGCTCCCCGTGTTGTCCGACAAACCTGTCACATCGCGCAAACAACAGCACAACATGGACGTCAACGAAAGTGTTGCCTCGGTATGATAGCTTTCGGCAACAAAAACAGCAGCTTGTATTGCACAACGCTTGTTGCCCTGATCGCTGGCGGAGCGAATTTCGGGCCGGCAACCCGACAACACAAATAGCTTCGATGACTTACCTAGTGCCGCATCAATAACGTCTTACTCAAATAAAGTCGTGGAAAACGTTATTTAACAATAATTAGGGCTGGCGTGCAGGTAAAATAATTTGAGGAATGTTTTTATTGCGTAATTAGGAAAGCAATTGTCGAAATGGTCAAGCTATGGTCGTGAACGTTCAGACTGGTGTTAAAATTAGAAATGCCAAACCAGTTCACATTAGTGTTATGAAATAAAATGTCATGCCTACTCACCCGCTAATAAAGCATATTAATACTAATCCAGGAAAGGCAATTGGATTAAAAAGTCGAAACATAGAAACGACCACTTTGATCATGATTGTTGGTGCTCGGAATTTGGAAACGGCCGCTATCAGACACCTGATTTGTTTCATCAGTACCCAGGACGTTTTGGGGAATGAATCGATCACATACCAGCCGGTAGGCAAATAAACAGCGTTGAAGATATTCATTCCACCGATTGTTATGAAGGCCGATCCTGTCTGTGTCGCAGTTTTTAAGCACTGTCAGTTAGCTCAACACAAGGCTTCGAAAAACGTTTTGGGCTACTGCCAGCAAAAACTCAATTTCACCGCAGAAGTAGGGATTGCACGAAAGAAAGAACCGGACAGAAACACTTCATAAGGTGGCGTAGATCCAGAATATATATCAGCGATCTCAATTTCCTTGGTTAGGGCTATCCACTTTGTCAGAAAATAAAGAACATTTTGGTAAAATAAGGGTTACAGTATAGACCTCATGCCAAGTTTTCTAATCACAGTCACTGGTTGATGCCGTCCCGTGGTAATTTCCGGCTCTTCGCACGCGCTAGCATTGTGTAAAGTCACATTTCCAGCAACGCCGCGCCGCACACGAACGAAGGTATAAAATCAAGAGGGCGGAGTATTCCGCGTGTTGTTCCCGCAGTCAGCGCGGTGTGACAGGGTTGTCGGACAACAAATCGGCCAACACGGTTGCCGGGTGGCAGCAACATGTTGCCCGACTGTTGTTGCCTTGATGCGACAGGGTCGCTGGCAACACGATTTCCTCGTGTTGCCGGATAGGGTTGTCCAACTCTTGCCTCAGTGTGACTGGGCCTTTAGAGAAAAAAAAAGAACCTCGGCCGCCGCAATATACCATGGAACCTACATACCTTTGGCTCTACGGGGTGCTTTTCTCGGATGGATACGCAAGATAAAAATACAAGTTCCCGCCATATTTTTTTTTGTTTTTTTTTACAATGAGGCGTTTTAGAACAATCATTCACACGTTCTTCCCCGTTTGAGCGGATTTTCGTATAATCACTTGAAAAGTGGCTAAGATAAAAATTCAGTTTTTTTTTATTCCTGTAGTGTCTTAGTTCTAGAAAACCACTTCTGGGTACAGGTCTTACAACTAAAATAAACTATCCCAGCTTTATTATTCTTAAAACAATTAAACTCATCAGTCAAAAAAAAGTTTCAAATTTGTTGTAGAATTTCGGTTACATAAATATGCACTAGTGCATCTAATTGACCTGTGTAGACGCTATATGTATAATTAAATTACATCCTGCATTCTAAACTTTGTAAGTTCAATGATTTCTAATTATTGACTCATTGGTTACGTTTACATGTGATAATGTATTTTTATTAAAATTTTGTGAAACTGTTCCATTTCAGCTTCATAGTTTTTCTAAATGCTCATACACATGTACGAAGAATAACGATAATGGTCAACCTACCTGGACTAAGCATTTTTTGCCGAACGGCTTGCCTTGTGGAGAATGTCAGGTGAGTAAGGTCAAAATACACAGACGACACGACAAAGACCGAACAAATCTGCAGAGTTCTTGTCTCCGGAAAATTCAAAATGATGAAGTGTAAAGACGAAGTTTCCGTGATACTGTTACTTTTAAGAGGAATTTCTAGTAAGATGTTTTGCATTTTTGATCGGCTGAGTCGAGTCCCACTGCGATTCCAAAATGACATACGCATAATGCGTCCTCTCTTCGATAACGAAAGCGCCATTTCTCTCGTCGAAATGGGACAAAGTGGCTGTAAATATGACCGAAATGAATGCTATTCGCGCACTTGACGAGCAATGCGTACAGTTTTTGTTAATAATATCGCAAGAAACAATAATGGCAAAACTATATACATAGAAACTTCATCAGCCGACATGGCCAAAAGATTTTTAAGTACACCACAAACAACCGATTGTAACATCTGCAGGTATGCCAAACTCGAAAACACCAGGATCCGATGGGCTAGACGCTGGTCTTTGAAAGAGGTATAAGAATGCATTGTTATGTTCTTTATTAGAACTAGTTTGCTAAACGCATCAATGGGAAACGCTGTCGCAGTTCTTTACTCGAGCATACACTGTTCACACTTTTATAAGTGACGATGTGCAGAACCTATGCAAGGTTACTAACCTTCAACCAATTGCGTTGTGTAACACTGATCAAAAAATTTTCGTGAGAAGTATAAAACGGTGATTTCTGAGCGTGGCCTGTGAGCCTATTTAAACCTATGGACCTGTAGGATTCAAGGCAGATCAATTACAACCAAGATGAAGTTTGTGCTCAAAGTCTTCGAACCATGCGACGTGTCGTGGGCTAAGTTGATATACTGCAATTGGATTTCGACAAGTCATTTTAACTTGTTAGGAATTACGTTATTTTCAATGTTTTAAAATGCGTGAAAGTTTGCAATTTCATTTTGAAGAGTCAAAATTGCCTTTTAAGGAGGCACCTCAAAGCTTATCGTATGCAAGGAGTGGGCACAGCCGATTCATGCTCGATCATCCTAAAACGAGAATGCATTATGTCGCCCTTATTTTTTTTTTTCAATTTATATTGAGAGATTTTTTTTTCTAAGCATCTGCAAAAAGAACTAGATCGAAGCTTTCGGTAAGGAAAAAAAAAGAGTTTCCTCTTTTCTTCTTTTATTATGGATTAGCGACGTGTCAGTGGCACGATTACTTTTCCCAATCACCTGTGTGGGGCAACCGGGCTGCCATAAACTCGAACAAGGGCCGCTAGCTTTGCCATCAAGCGTTGACCACAACGCCTTCAGTGTTCAAAAACGTGTGCTGGATTGCGTGCCTTGCAAGTACCTTGGCGTGCCGCTTGAAATTTATCGATTTTATAATTCCAATTAGTCGGGAGTCGCCCCCGGCCTGGAGAGGAACCATTTTCTTTGAAATAGGCGTGATTTGTCAATATTTTTCCGAGTGACGGTATGCAATCTGTTTCTCGCCACAAGAGTATTATACGTTCAGCAAACAATACACTGTGCCCGTACGAACGTCATCCAGTGTTTGCTACTTTTATGTCAAGATCGAGTCTCAAACCGAGGAGGCTAGTTATTATTTTTTATCGTCTGCGTGGCATAGGTTAGCGGTTGACAGATTCGTTTGTGAGGCAGCTGGTGTCAAGCTTTATGTTTCTGCACGATCAAGAGCACACCTTCTTACGCGCGCTTATTCATACTAGACTGCCACCTCACTTGCCGCCTTTCCTTGTCCTCGTGAGGCGACGAGTCAGGAAAGCTCTTTGGTTTTCAAGGTGATGTCTTGGATGACCTGAGTTTTCGTCTGCCCGTTTGTTTAGAGTAGCTGTCCAGGGTGAATAGGACAAAGCTTTGTCGAGACTTGTTGATCAGTATTTTCCCTACACCCTTATATCCGAGAGTCGTTTGTCAAGGTTGTAACAATGTGCTGAAGCAACTAAATTGTTTGCGTACTCCTTCCTCAGTATAAGCTTGCTTCCTCAAATTACTCGCCAATACCTTGCCTGCCAAGGTGTGCCTTAGAGGAAAAGGCAGAGATCTGCCAGAGGTGACTGAGTATCTTTACTGAAAACAAGCAAAACCACTTATGTATGTTTTTATACTTGGCTGGGACGCTGTATTTCCTACACGTCCTCCAGCACTCGTTGAGAAATCAATTGAACATATGTCGTGTGGGATACGTCTCTTGAACGTGATCAGTGATGACTGTGTCCCATACGATATGTTTTTTCTTTAGGAACTTTGCAGCCTAAGGCGAGCACTCTGGGCAGTCAAGCGTGCCGGCGTCAGTGTAAAAAAAATTCGTTTCTTTATTTTTTTTATCCGAATCAAGCAAGTGGAAAGTATGTTTTCTACACTGGAGTCCAAGCCCGATTGGCCCGGCATGTGCAATGTACTTTTCGAAATGCGCACCATCTGTGCACCATGCAAAAGTGTCAAAATCATGCAGTGCGTTTGTAATATAAAGAGACTTGTGCAATCACCCCTTGCAAGGAAGTAAATAATCTACATCGTGGTAGAATGGTCTGGAGCCTCGCTTTCTCGCGACAATGTGTGCGATGTGCTGAGATCAAGTCCTTTCGGGATCGTGTATTTTATATTTTGTCTTGTTTATTTAATTTCACCCTTCTCGGGGATATTTCAAACACAAATTTACCTTGAGAATCTAATATTCCTCCTTCGTACCTCCTTAGTGCTACTATTAGCGCTTCAGTTGCAGCAGTTTCCAACAAGTGTTTTGTTCGGTATCGTTGGTGTTTGCTTGACCGCTAATAATCATATTGATTGTTCTTTAAAGAAAGGGGCATATTCCTGCCAATTTTAGGACAAAACCCTGTGGCATAAACCCCTCTAGCCCATCACTGTTTCTTTACTGGCATTGTCGCGAATTATGGGTGCAGCACAACATACAAGCTCTGATCGACCATATGGCCATATACAACCGGTCGCCACTACACTCAGCTGCATTGGGGCCGGCACATGACGCAGATTGAGAATGGTGATCGTCATCGCACTTTAAACACGTTTTAGTACTTTCCTGACGCGTTGTCACCAATATATTATAAGGGAGCAAGGTGCAGCGAATACAAAAAAAACGTAAAAAAAAAAGTATGATCAAAGCACTAAAGCATGGGACCTCAAGTGTACCAAGCATGCTATTCAGGTGGTCATAAAAAAATTAAGTGGCGAAAAAGTATTTCTTCATCTATGAAATCCTTTTTCAGCTTTCTTTTTAAAACTTCTCAGCAGAAAATAACTTACATTAACACATAAAACAAAAACATGCGTAAACGGTTCAGTTGTCTCACAATGCCTGGAGTCGATTGGCCATAGTTTTTTAATACCTCGGGATTCGATCTATTTTTCCATTGGCTCAGTGCTTGAATAAAATTAAAAGGAGAGAGTCTTGAATATTGGTTGTGTCGACATTCACTCAACCCTTTCATTAGGCCCAGATGACGTTTATGCTGTGGTTTAAAACGGCATGAACGACGCAACGGAGGTGGGAGCGAGATCAAAACTTGTTTTACTAAACTCTTTCTCGGGCAAGAAAAAAAAATTCATTAAGTCGAACTCTTAAGAGATAGAGGGTGTCGGCTGCGTTCTTATAAAATGTTAGACCGTTATGTTGTCCGTGTAATCTATTTGGATCTCTGGTTCAGTTTTTTGTAACACATTAATTTTTGCAATGTTTCATGAACGGGTGTTTTGGTTGTTGAATGAACTCTCATTAAACTATTACCTGCAGTAAGAAAATTGGTTATAACACAAACCAACCCCCACCCCCACTTTTACCAGATTGACGAAATTTTTATTTTAGCATCAGTTCATTAAATGACATCCAAAAGAGTGTCACGTAAATTCTATGAAACATATTAGACGTCATCCTTCAGTAATACGTGATCTGAGCAGGTGCGTTAATTTTTACAACTAGGACATTACATACTGAAACTCGGCAAAATATTAAAGGGTATATCATCTTCCTTTCGCAAAGAGCCGCACTCACACTCATTCCGACGTTATCCGATATTGATTTGGGAATGTCCATACCTCTCCCTGGTACTCGTAAATTATGACGTCTTCAGATATGAATGGTGTTGTTTCCCTCTTCGCACACCAGGAGCCAAAACGTATTTTACTTGTTGACAGCCGCACCAGAACAAGCACAAAACTCCGAATTGCACTGCATTGCTTCTTCTATGTTGTGTTTATCCGCGCGCACAATCACAAGGTCGTCGGCATAAGCATGGATCTTCACCTCAAAACCAGAGGCAAGAGCCGCGCACGAATCTGTTGCTTACGATGTGTCTCCAGAGGGGCTTGAAATCAATGTCGAAGAGGAGTGACCAAAGTGGTCATTATTGACGCACCGATTCTTAAACTTGAAGAAATCATGAGAGTGTTTCGTAAATATTATTTTGTTGATATATTGCCACGCGCGTCGCCGAGCGAGCGCATGGCCAAATGCAAATGTTATCACGCTTGACTGTCGCGCGGAAGTTGTCGGTTCCATTCCAGTCAGCCGAATGTTCTTTTCTTTATTCTTCCAACTTGGCGTTCTCGCAAGTTCGAGAACATTGTGGTTTGATCGAGTTCGGAATGTTCTACGCGCCGAAACTTCTACGCCGAGTGTTCATGAAAACTACGCGGGTGCATAAGGGACTCCGCCTGGCGAGCGGAGTCAGTCTCACCCAAGCGTTCGATCCTGCTGTTTCGCCGACATCGTCGCCTGCGACGCTAATCTTCGATTTCGTTTTCGGCACAAGCTCGCCTTATTAAACGTTTAGTTCCCCAGTTATTTGCCGCCTCAACATTTGTCATTCGTAACAATGTCATGGTAACAATGTTGCACGCCCTTAACAATATTTTTGGCTGTGTAATTATATATGAGAATTCAAAAAAGAAAGGACTGTCGGCTCTGTAAAAGGAATTAGCAAGGTCAGTTTGTAAATTCACAACTGTTTCGAGGGTTCTTTGGTATATCTCCAGTATAGACC